CGTACAGTCCAACATCTGTAGACTCATCTGCAAGATCGCCACAACGCGCGCGGCCATTATCTTCCTATGACCTTTCTTAAATCCCTTTGTCGATTCTTCAGAGCTTCGGATTTACTGCTGCCGTTTTCTTCGGCAACGTTTGTTACGCATCGGTCAGAAATTTATACGTTTTTATCGTAAAAATTTATACGTTTCTATCGTAAAAATTTATACGTTTCACGCGTATTCTATATTATTATTTATACAGTTATTCTATTATTTATCCAGTTTCTCTCGTTTTGAGCTCTGCAGATACGGGTTTCCTTTTCTTTCCCGATGCAAGCAGTTGTCAATTTTCTTTAACGAATGCACTTCTTTGAGGATGCACGCGTTGTGCAGTGTTCAGGAATTTTTACACCGCGAATCGGGAAAAATAATCGAGTAACAATATTTCTTCTTTCCCTTGGAATACTGTTAGTGTGGGATTTTGTATGGGTTGATTAATTAAAATCGATTAATTGAGATCTTTGTACGTGTCATCAAGGTCTAAAGGAAAGTAACGTGTATAAGAGAAGCAATAGTAAATATAATAACAAATACATGTTACTACGTGTATTTATTATTATATAATATTAATACGTGTGTAAGAGAAGTTTTTCAAAAAGTATGTTCACCAAACTAGTTAAATAAGATAACAAATGATTCGAAGCATACTTTTAGCATACTGTTGTCAAAAAGATCATGTCAAAAAAATGGCCAATTCTTAATATTCAAATTCAGAATTAAATAACATATAATTAACTCCTATTATCTGCAAAATATGCATTGAACATTTGCGTCAAGCACAACTGATTCAATAAAATCGTTTCAACATTTTCTCTACACAAAATAACGTAATAACCTAATGTTTGCTAAAATCTTGTTTATTTAACCCTTGTCTACACCCATTTCTACACATCGCTATTAATTTTCGAATAATTCTTGACAAAATATCGCGAAACCGCTTCTGATCCCCCAAAAATTACACTTTTAGATCGATTAACCCCTCGCGCAACAAATCGAAGAAAACAATAATAAAAGAATAAAATATTCGAAATAACCAAGGTTTAAATATCGCGAACATGATTGCACACACACAAGGGTCAACCCTTGAAAACATATTTAACATCAAAACTCTAGACATTTCTTCCAAAACCTAAGAAGATTTCTTTTCTTTCACAATTTTTATTCGCTTTTACATAATGAATTGAACGCTTACTCATCCCACGCTAGAATTTGTCAGCAGTTTATTAAATAAAAACCGGACTTAGCAACGTAACAATTGCTCGAAATTACAGTTTCTGAAATTTAAATTACAGTTTCTCAAATTTATCGCAAGTATTTCGTCAAAAAGGATGCGAAAAAGCGGCTGACACCGTCGAAACTATAATACAGAATTCGCCTAATCGAGCTGGACTGGAACCAGGTTCCTGGTTCCATCGTTACCAAAACGATCGAAGAGTTCGGCTCGAATGAACGCATTTTCTTCCGGCGTCGTCCGCCGCGTTCTCTTATGCCGACTGTCACCGTGGCAGACGTTATACGCCGTCGACATGCGCCATTAACATCGTACTTACGCTGATCCGACCTGCAAGTTGCAAATTTGATTAAAAAACGTTCGGGTTCGCGCGCAGAACTGGCACGTGACGGTCGGCGACTATCGACCCGTATTTACGTCGACTCCGTTTGTGTACGGAAACGGTTCGGTAAAACCGACGAAACCGGGGATGTAGCTGTCTCGAGACAGAAAGAGAAAGAGAGAGAGAGAGAGAGAGAGAGAGAGAGAGAGAGAAGGAGAGGGGGGAAAGACAGAGGGCCGAGTCGCGGGCCAATTTTTGCGTAATCAGCCCGTCTGCCACGGCGATCTATTTCGAGAGCGTCGACTGTCTAAAACGATCGCTGAAATGCCGTGCACGCGTGTTCTCGCTTAGGGTAAGAATAGCGGCGCGATCTTCTGCCGCGAACTTGAAGCGGATTTCTGGGAGGCTTTCGCGCGCGCGACAATCGCGTGGAAAATCAGGGAGGAAACAATCGACGGAATAGTATCGTAATCCTCGAGCCGGGGATTATCCGAGCCCGGTTTTCTCTCGCAGCCGCTTTCCCACTTGACTCGCTGAAAAATCAATGGAATGCACGCGCGCTATAATCTCGACGGTAATTTTCAAAGAACTTGTTCCATCCTCCTCTGAGTCAGGCGCACACGTGTCCCTGATATCTGTTTGCATGCGCGACCAATGTACGAGATTCCTATTCAGCCGAGCATCGTCTCTTCGTTTGCTCTGAAACAGAGTCGCGAACTGGTTCCCGCGAGTCCTTCAAATCGCGCCGAATGAATCGCGTTCTGACGAGATGCGTGTTCGATCGAATAGACGGCGTGTTTGCTCGAATAAAATATGTAATTCGGAGCGAACGCGTTTCGGTTCGCGAAACGGTTCGCGATTGTTCTCGCGCGCGCTTCCGATTTTTTAGCGGCCGCGATCACTCGATTTCACTCGGCCGATGTTTAGGTTTCGCTGCGTGAGTCACACCAGGTTTTCATTAAGCCTTTTATACTGTTACCTGTCGCCGGACCGACGCTCTTTATGCAACATAAACATGGCATAAGACGATTGTAACGGACGGAAATTAAATAAGAAGGAATGGGGTTGGTTTTAACACACTTTATCTACCAGCTGTTTTACGATAGTTCTTTGAAAATCGAAGGGAAACTGTTCAGAAACTACAATAATTTCATTCATAATCAGTCGAATTTATTTAATTAATATAATGTAATATGTCCTTCTGAGATATTGTTATTTAAATGGAAATTATCGATTTTTTATCTCAGAAATGGGTTCACATTCTTTGTTTTAAAATTGCTGGAATTATAAAGACTTTTTCATGGAAAATGATTCAATGAAGTTCTTAATTTAACCGTAAATTATAATTAACCCCTTGCTGTACTTTGACGAGTCCGAGTCGTCATGAAAATTTGTAGTAATAATTTATTGAGTATAGATGTTATTCTGTCCTTTAAAATTGAAATCAAATTCTAATCTCTTGTCATTAATATTTAAAGTATTCAAGTAAATTTCGGCACACAATAAACATCAATTTTCTTTGTATATTTTCTTGAGTATAGATGTTATTCTGTTCTTTAAGATTGAAATCAAATTCTAACCTCTTGTCATTAATATTTAAAGTATTCAAGTAAATTTCGGCACACAATAATCATCAATTTCCTTTGTATATTTTCTTAAGTATAGATGTTATTCTGTTCTTTAAAATTAGGATCAAATTCTAATCTCTTGTCACAAATATTTAACCATTCATGTAAAGAACACACAATAAGCATAAATTTTCTTTTACTTCTAAGAAATTATCGCAATCGAGAAATTTCTAATCGCGGCAACTGCGAAAGAAATGGTATGTCAAGGGGTTAAAGATTAAATTATTGTTGTGAAGCAACACGTGTTAGTTGCATTTAAGACTCGGCAGATTTGTCGTTAATAGGCATCTGTGGTAAATAAAGTGTTAGTAGTAACAATATTATGAAATTCTTCTCGCGTCGCTTCGCAATCACTTATTACAAAAATTTCAATAATTTCATGCGCGGTCATCTAATCGCGCGCGCTGACAACGCGCTCCTTGCTATTATTGTTTATGGCCTGTTTATATTCAAAGTCGTACAATGACGTTTATGTTTCCCCGAGCGACGTGAAAACAAGTTTTTATCGTTCGCGCAGAGATTTACGAATATCCTTTACTTATCGCTCCGTTTTCCGTCCATCGATTAACCTTTGCGTTTTTTATTGTGTTTCTTTTGAATTCGACGCTTCCGCGCGATTATTTGCATACGATCGTGGTATCGACGTCGCAAAAGAGGATCCCGGAACAATCGTTGTCACTGAATTTTTCCGGCGATTCCGATGACGATCCCGGCACGATCGTGTGTCATGATTTCGCGTCTATCGTGACGGCCTGATTACGCGGTGCGTTGTCCGTGCAGCTTGCGGATGGATCTCGGTGCAGCTGCACTCGGCTTTCTGCATCGCGAAAGTCATCCCTCCCCCCTTCCTTTGGCAGATACAATGAAACGGGAGGGACCGGGCGTCGGAACTGGCCGAGACGAAAACGTGTATCTCTATTCAGATTAGTACGAGGATGCCAGCCGGTAATCGTCGTGCTTCAAATTACAATTATAATAATGGCCGGGAGGAGCGTGCCATAATCGCGGTGCATAAGATCATCGAAGTGTGCATCAGCAACAGCGATACGATAAAGTGACTAACGCACTATTGTTTCGGTGCACGCGAACTCGATGGAATAATAATGTTTCTGCATCATCGAATCTCGGATCGTGTGTAACAAAGTCCGCGCTGTGAAATAATTCATCTGATATGAAAGTATAATAGGCAAAATGCCTAGATGATGTACAGCTCCTTTGGATCTGTGTTCCGGCAACTTCGATGACCTTGATAACCCTGTGGTACGTTGGCATGAAAGCTGGACATGCCGCACAGTGGGCTGAATGTCAAAATTCAAAATATTTGGCGTTTTAGAGAATCGATTCAATTGTTCCAAGAATCAGTTTGCTCTGAGAACTTTTCAATCAACTAATACGTTAACAGCTTTCAATTAATGTTGAATATATATTATAATACAGATAATTAAAACAGATGCCCGGATTAATTAATTTAGTTAATTAGATTTATCTGACATAAGTTGATGTAACTATGATATAAGTATTAGTTAAGTTGATATAATAATATATCGACTAAAATATAGTTGGTTAAAAGTTGACTCAAACTATAAATATATAGTTGATATAAGTATATCAGTTTTCCATCTTTAATTTAGCAAATTTCAGAAAGATCTTTTTTATAAGCACGTTGGGTCATCTCGATTTTTGAGATGTTGATATATATTTTGGACTTTATGATAGACGAACTCAACGACCTACTTTATTCTAAGCTTAAATCTTGAAACGAAAATGCTACAAATTCAAGAGGATCGCGAGTTGAACGATCAATAATCTATTCAACGGGTTGTAATTGATCAGATCGATAGAAATTGATTTTTGAACTTGCACAGAGAATTGTGTCGCTTATTAACGATCGATGCAGCGGCGAACGCGTTAACAGCGTGTAATACGGTGTCGGAATTTCGAAGGAAAGACGGTAATATCAAACTGCATTCGTTTCCACATGCGACGACACGCACGACCTGCTTGGGCAATCGTTCAATTCCAAGAGCAGATCCACCCCTCCATGCTAACCGCTGTAACGATCAAGCATTCGGTCGAATTAAAGATAATATGTACAATATACGTGTACATTGACACCGGTTGTCTTAATCCAGACGTGTATCGAATCGGTGTTATTTATCAGCGATTGAAAAGATTTCTACGACACAGTCATGCATTAAAGATACCTATTTTGCAGGTGTTCTCAAGGTAATCCAGCGCCTATTCACATACTTCGGACTTGCTCGTTGAACTAATCGCGGAATTCTAGGTTGTCATAGTTTCAGAAAACACCGCCAACACGCGCAGAAATTCATAAAATTAGGAAATGGACGCATTGCATCGTGCAACTGGACCGCTTGTGCTTAAATGACCCATTCGGATCAGCACGATATTCATATTTGCACCGACAATTCTTTAAAACAAGCGATAAAAAGAATTATTAGAGATTAGATTAAGATTATAACGTAAAATATAAATTATGTAACAAGCACCCACCGAAAACGTTAACAAGAATTGTCATATACCTCTCACTTTTTGTATCTCTCATAGGGGTGGATACACCCTAACATCATGAAACTACCCTAAAAACTGTCAATGAACTCGATTGTTTGCATGAAAATAGACAAAATTTCATGATAATTTAATTATTAATGTATTACACCGGATCCCCTCCCCCCCTCAGGCTGATATTATCTTTCTGTAAATGTGTAGTGATTGCCACGAATTCGATGCCCACTGTAGATACGTGCTTCACGTCCGTTGAGTATCGAGTGTCGATGGTTGGTTGCCTCTAGAGAACTGACAGTGTCGTGGGATGGTTAATGCTTGAAAGGCTCATTGAATATTCACCTAAATTAGCTGAGTAACACCTCGGTTAATTAGCACGACCAAAATAAACGGGAAAAAGTGACAACGTGACTGGTAAGCGGGAGAACGCAGTTGCATGATAGCCACGAGTGAGTCAACGGACAATAGAGCGGAGCAAGAGAGTACGAAGTAGTACTTGCAGTACAGTAGAAGGGATGCGTCGAAGTCAGCCGTAATTCGATCAGCCTGCTAATTTACGCAGAACCAATATGTCTGAAATGTTTGAGTCCACGGAGCAGGGCAAGGTAATCACGCCTATTTTACAATATATAAATTATCCGACTCGGTGGACCTTGCTTTGTTTGATTTTTCGAATGATGCACACCTATCCACATGCGATTCGTATGGTTTGTCAACAGAAACGCTCGTCGATTCTTATACCGTTCTGCAAACGATTAAGTGTTATCCGCTTTTGTCTTCTAATTAGTCGCACGGCACTGTCATCGTACGATTGGATAAATTGATTTTGTACCATTCGCTTGATGACTCCGTCGAGGTTATGTTTCTGTTATTTTCATACCTGTGTACTGGACTCTGGCGTCCATTCAGCTGATATGATGTAGGAGTCGTCGCTGTATCAGTCGATTAATTCGATTATTAATTATCGTAGGATTTATGTATTCATGCTGGAGTAGTTTTGAGGAAAGCGAACACAAAGGAGGATGAAGTTCACAGCTTGGGCACGTTGAATATCGTTGAATATGTAAGCGCAGTCTGTGAGTTACAGTATCATATATTTCTGTTGGCGGTTCGTGGAATCTCCTTTTGAATTTACAGAGTTTCGGAAGGTGCATAGAATGGAAATCTATAGTGGATTCTGTGGTTTCCGAGAAGCAAGATCAAGATTCGGAATGGTCTCTGGTAAACACTCATACTAGACGTACTCGAACTTCGTCGGAGGGACCAGATTCCCAGGGAAACAATAGGACAGTCAGAATTTTATTCTCAAATTTATGCTCCTTTTGTATACACTCCAGGGGCCAGCAGCTCATATTCAAGCAAAAGGATGACACTGTATACGTCGCCTTTTTCCAACTATCCAATGCAGACAGTTTTGTAAATTCTTTGAGGGGGTTCATTAAGTTTGTAAGGTCTCGTGTGAATAGAAACATGTACCTTGTAGTAGACGAAGTACAAAATGTACTGACTAGATCATTCGCCGAGTTAGATATAATTCAAGAGAACACCGCAGATTACGTTTGGAAATTTGTAAAAAATTGGCAAGACCATCCGTACGAGGCAACGATGGAAATGTTTAGTAAAATAGCTGATATCTGGTGTAAGTGTACCAAAACAGAGTATAGTGACTTGTACATTATTTTTCGCTTATGATACTGTAAGCTCGACTCTAATTAATAGTGCACAAAGAAGCAGCTAAACGCCCGGTCGAAGAGGCCGTTGCCGATATACTAAATAATTCTTTATCCATTGAAGTAACCCATCCACCGGTGTCTATAGACTCTGGAGAGGAGTACGAAGTAATCGGGGTACAAAGATTGGGAATCATTTTACCACAGAGACCAACATGTCTACGAGGTATAACAGGAATAGACCTATCCGCAAATCATGTTCGATGGAACATATTAAAACCAATATGATTGCAATAGGTACGCCACTGACGCAGGATCAGTGGAACAGGTATCAGGACTCACATGGAAGAATCTTAAATCCTCAACAAGTAAAAGAAGTGGTTTTCCGCGGGGTTTGTAGACATGATTTAAATACGAGTTTCATTTCCGCTGACACAAAATTCCGGTAAGGAATTGCGGATCTAGTCCGGGAATGTAGAAAGAAATTTGCAGGGTATCGTACCGTCTTTGCGACTCGAAGTATGGAAGTTTTTGTTGAACTATTATCCGTGGGAGTACACGCATAGTCAGAGACGCGAACTGAAAAAGAAAAAAGATGACGAATACTTTATGATGAAATTACAATGGAAATCCATGACCGCCGTTCAGGAGAAGAACTTCTCCGGTTATCGAGATCGAAAGAGCTTGATAGGTAATGGCAATCGAATTCTTCTGGTTGCCTAGTCGATGGTCAACGTATTAACTGAATCGCCGTAATCGTAATTAACGAATTTTAGGAAAGGACGTTAATAGGACAGACAGAACGCATCCTTATTACGCGGGCGACAACAATCCTCATTTAGCACAGTTGTACGACATTCTAATGACGTACGCGATGTACAATTTCGATTTAGGGTATGTTCAAGGCATGAGTGATCTTCTCAGTCCGATTTTGTTCTTAATGGACAGCGAGGTAGACGCGTTTTGGTGTTTCGTCGGGTTCATGGAGAAAGTGGTACGTCTATCTTTAAGGGTAACATTCGCAACGGACATTTACATAGGAAACCATTATGCGTGAAACAGAGCACGAACTTCGAAATGGACCAAGCCGGCATGAAATCGCAACTGTGCCAATTGTACAATTTATTGAGCACCATAGATCTGGAGTTCGCAAGTTATTTGTGCAAGCACGACTCGGGGAATATGTTCTTCTGTTTCCGATGGCTCCTAGTCCTTTTCAAGCGGGAATTCGACACCGTCGACATCATGAAATTGTGGGAAGTGTTGTGGACCGATATACCCTGCAAGAGTTTCCATTTGCTCGTATGTACGGCCATACTGGACAGGGAGAAGCACGTGCTTATGGAGAATAATTACGGGTTCACGGACATATTGAAGGTAAGTAAGAGAACGAGAGAAAGCGTGAAGAAATAATTAATTGCGATGTGATTTATAGCACATAAATAACCTCTCCCTTCACATCGATTTGTCGTCAACGTTATTGGAGGCAGAGGGTATTTATTGTCAGCTAATGTCGGTGGCGGACAAGCTACCCGACAGTATTCGTTCAATAATTGGGATCGAACGTTTGAACAAAGTGACGGCTGATGACGCAGAGGAAGTTGCAGCTTCTTCTGCTAATAGCGAGAAGGTAGACTGGGTTGATGATACTAATTCGAGGAGCGACAGCATGGAGTGTGAGAACGTCAGGTTGGGCGAGAACGAGGTGTCCTTCGAACGGGGGTTACATATGTCGTATATGTGAGACCTGGACAGATCGTTCATTATGATTCGCGAACCGTGTTGTGCACCACAGTCAATTTTAAAAGAGCTACACTTTTAAGGGACATTTGTAGTTCTGCTTTCGCGACGAACTGACTCGGCCGTTTTAGTTCGCTGGAACAGTGCAATGAATCGTATTCCGGCTCTCTATAAACATTGTCACTTACGATCGACGCTTTATACGAAATATGCATATTTTATAATGATATCACATGTATTGCGTATTGTTCGATTTGTTTTCAATCGAAGCGATAACGTCACGATCGCGGGACGTGACCGGTTTAGCGATGATTTCACAAAGTTGCAGCGAGGATTACTGTTAGTAGCGTTGAATTTTGAGATATTTATGAAATTCATTGTAATTACAAAGAGATTATAGACGCGCATATTTAGCGGATAAGAAGGTAGTTTCGTACAAATTCATTTTTCGATGCACGTTGGACTTGAGAGAGAATATACGGGGACAGTTATCACCGTATTTTCGGTTTACCAGATCGTATCGTTTTTTTCACTTACGTTCGATGTGTTTTTTTTCCCCCACATGTGTATAATAACGACAAGGCACCGCTGTATATTTCTAATAAAAATCATCTGTTTAATCTGCGATGCCCACGCATTATTCTTTTGACCGGCGTGTCTCGGTGAAACGGATTCGAAATGCAAACTTACGAAAACTATGCGCAAGCAAAATTTCCATTGCGCATGCGCGATAGATCATGCGCAGCTACGTTTGTGCGGTGTCACATTTAAATTTCGTTAATTGCTGTTGGTTTCGCGCTTTTGGTTCAGTTAAATTGAAAACGAAAGTGTAAACAAATATGCTTATGTTGATATAAATGATTTCCTGTGGACGGTGAAGCAGCAAGGTATGGAATTCTCCGCTGTAAAACGTAATAGAGGTCGAAGAAAGAAACGGACTTTGAAAAAGCGACGCTCTGAACAGGTCAAATTTGAGGTTAGGTCTGCGAAACATCGAAGGATTGCGTCGGAGTACACGGATACATTTGTTATGAAAGAAAGATTAACGTCCGACACGATGCACGCCAATTCTTTTTGGGAAAACTATACAACGGCCCAAGAATGGCAGAATAGGTGAGTCACGTATCTTTCCTAAATTTGTCACATTCTGCCTGGGGGAACAATTTTCCATGTAGGAGAACGTACGATTGTTTTTAGACACAACGTAATTTGGTGGAGGACTCGTTGTTTCGCTCTAGAATATGAGAATCAGGCACTGAGAGATAAGTTGAGATCGTTGGCAGCCCAGAATGTTTCACAACAGTCGCACTATTCGCAAAAGGTGCAAAATTATAAGAATCATGACGTGGAAGAGGACGACGAAGAGACAAAGTTCACAGAAGATAATGAAAACTTAGAGTTCCAAGTGAACGAGGACATGATGAATTTTTTGGAGCAGAGTATAAGGCATAAGATCGAATTGAAGAAGAAACGTGAAGCTGAATCTGCTGAGAAAGAAGAGAGAAACAAGGATGATTGCATTCAGGGAGGTGCTGCCTGGGTGCAAGCAAGAAACACCAATGCAAAATTATTGTATGGCGATGCCAGCCCTACAATTTTAGCCATGGAAACTGCCCTACAGACTACCGTAGACAGACATAAGGACAAAGCGAAGCCACAGTTGTGGCCTATTATTGCTTTAAAACCGTAGTATTTAGGATCGGATACAATTTTCTATTTAAGCAAACTTTAATGTATTTTATGATTAATAATAAAGAAATCTTTTCACTTATGCTTCATAGATTTCATATTGGATCTAAAGATTTTTGTTGTGTAATTGTATTTATCAGGTTGTTTATTTAGGTATAAAGACGTGTAGATAGCTGTAGAGATAAAATAGGATAAATGGGAGATGAATTCTGATATGTATGCGCATTATTTAGTTAGATTGGATATAATTGGCTGAACAATTTTCCTAGAAAGAGAAAAGAACAGGGATTGGGGCAGGAAAGGAATAAATTAGGAACTAAAATCTAGGGATGAATTAAATTAAATAAATAAATTGATTTTGGCAACACTACATGGTAATTCTCTAGATCTCTAGAGACATTGCATGCAATGCATTTTACCGTCTCAGGATTTGAATTACCGATTCTGTACAAAATAGCGAACTCTACGAAAATGGAACGGTCGGTCAGCAAATTCCATCTGACTGCAACATAGACAAATAAGTGCCTGAGAAAACTAAAACAGTGTTATCAAAAGATAATCGTATCACTGCATTTTCTACAGAGTCGACCTCTGCCTTACCAACGGAGCATCGAACTCGCAGACACATTGTTTCGTCTCTGTAACCAGCAGATGTTACTACATACTCCTTTCCTCCGCGATAATTGAAATCCGTGATTAATCTCTGCAATGAAAACAAATTCGGTATTCGAGTACTTTTTAATCGGTATGTTAATTGCTGAGTTTGAACTAGAAGTACTTGGAAAAATCTGCGATCTTCGAGCTGCAGATCGAATTTTTTGTTTGAGAATCTACGCAAACCACGTGATAATATTTGCGCAACGCATGGTGCATTGTGCAATTAGGAACATTAGGTCGACACGGAACGATCGCCGAAAAGATGAAGCTGTTGCTCCGTTTGGGAATTCACCGAAGTGCGAACAGTGAAATCCAATAAAGTTCTGCAATTATGCTCCGTGCTCATCGGAGGATTCACCGCGTTATCTCGCGTCGAACGAGCCGGAGGATCCGCCTTATCCGCGAGACAGTAGTTGGTATTCAGGAACGCAATAAAATCGTGTACAGTCCCGGCCATTAAAAAAATGGAGATGCAGCGACAGTTACGGGTCATACCCATAAATAATCCACGAAATGATCTGCCATCTATGAAATCGAATTGTCCCGTGATTTATAAAGTGGTGTACACGTATGCGTGTGCACCGCGTATGCGCGTACGTGGAATTTTAAAAGAGCCGAGATTGAAGTCTCGACCGATCGTGCCAGGGGCGATATCAAGTTGTTCTTCTCACAGGGTCCACGCACCACCGAGGCAGTCATAAATGACACCTCTCCCATGAAATATACCGGTGGAAGTAATTAATAGCTAATCCAAACGACCGTGCAATTATGTCCACATGTTATTATTATCCCCATAACGATTGCTATTATCGCCCGAGTGAAAAATAATCAATCGGCAATGGCGCGCGTTGCTCTTTATCGGCCGGCAAATATAATACACGGCAACCGCAATTATTGCTACATTATGTAAAAGACGCGCCTGGTATTTGTAAAAACGACGCGCGAAAATACCTGGGCCGAATGTACATATAAAACTGCGAAAGAAAGAAGTATCTGAGAATATTTTTCTACTATTTACAATTTGTTAAAACGACTGAAAGATTCGCGACTTAGGTTTTTTACAGTTTTGGTGAAACAATTTTTCATTTGCACGATGCAAAATGAATCATCTTTGTACAGATCTTAGGGGGTGAGTTTTTTCAATGTCGCAAAATGATGTCGCAATTTCTTTTTTAGACCTAAACTACCCTATCTTAAAGGAGACACTTCCATCTTCGATTCGAGCTAATTATCATTAAAAAATTTCAAGCTTTATATCCGCGGAATTTCTTTTTAATGATAATTAGCTTGAATCGAAGGTGAAAGTGTCTGCTTCAACATAGGGTAGTTTAGGTTAAAAAAAGAAAGTCGTGAGATGAAAAATGTCCCGATTTCATACCGAGATAATTCAACTTAAAATTGACTTGAATTATCCGTGTGAAATCGAGATATTTTTCATCTCGCGATTTTCAATTTTGCAAAATGATCTCGCGATTCTTTTCTTAACCTAAACTACCCTATCTTAAAGGAGACACTTCCATCTTCGATTCGAGCTAATTATCATTAAAAAATTTCAAGCTTTATATCCGCGGAATTTCTTTTTAATGATAATTAGCTTGAATCGAAGGTGAAAGTGTCTGCTTCAACATAGGGTAGTTTAGGTTAAAAAAAGAAAGTCGTGAGATGAAAAATGTCCCGATTTCATACCGAGATAATTCAACTTAAAATTGACTTGAATTATCCGTGTGAAATCGAGATATTTTTCATCTCGCGATTTTCAATTTTGCAAAATGATCTCGCGATTCTTTTCTTAACCTAAACTACCCTATCTTAAAGGAGACACTTCCATCTTCGATTCGAGCTAATTATCATTAAAAAATTTCAAGCTTTATATCCGCGGAATTTCTTTTTAATGATAATTAGCTTGAATCGAAGGTGAAAGTGTCTGCTTCAACATAGGGTAGTTTAGGTTAAAAAAAGAAAGTCGTGAGATGAAAAATGTCCCGATTTCATACCGAGATAATTCAACTTAAAATTGACTTGAATTATCCGTGTGAAATCGAGATATTTTTCATCTCGCGATTTTCAATTTTGCAAAATGATCTCGCGATTCTTTTCTTAACCTAAACTACCCTATCTTAAAGGAGACACTTCCATCTTCGATTCGAGCTAATTATCATTAAAAAATTTCAAGCTATATATCCGCGGGATTTTCTTAAAATGATAATTACCTTGAATCGAAGGTGAAAGCGTCTGCTTCAAGACAGGGTAGTTTATGTTAAAAACAGAATCGCGAGATCATTTCGCAAAATTGAAAGTCGCGAGATGAAAAATGCCGCGATTTCACCCGGATAATTCAAGTCGATTTCAACTCGAATTATCCGTGCGAAATCGTGACATTTTTCGTCTCGTGGCTTCCGAATGAGAAACTATTTTTTACGTAACGCACAAGAACGACAATTCTTCCCGCGGACTAGGAAGCGTTCGCATGCATATCGGTTCGCGGGGAAAGGCTGCACGCGAGAAAGATGCGCAAAGATAGATGTTCGCGCGGATTATGCGAAGCGAGCGTGTGTGTTGCGCGGCTGTCCGTGAACGGCAAACTTTCTTCGCACTTCGAACGTAGATTAGTAGGCCTTATTCCGAATTCCTGGAGACCGTGGGGCTCTCCTCGCCGCTTTCCTTTGTACTTTCCTCGATATTCCCATAACTCTTCCGGCACGAAAGGCCTCGCCAGCTCGTGTTTCTGTTCCGATAAGGAAGCAGCCAGTTCCGTGGGTGATTTCGGGAAAATGTATCGAGTTTGACGGGAAATAAATAGCGCCGGTGTCCTCCGTCGTGGATAGATTAGAAAAGGACAAGCGAGAGGAGCCAGCCCCGGACAGTCGGTTATCTGACGGTCGATCCGCTGACACGGTCTATGGAATTTTGGAACCAGTTCGGGGGGCTCCAACATCGATACCACGGGCCAGAGAAAGCCCCTAATTATCGGGATAACGCGTGTCGCGGTGTCGATACCGCTTACGTATCGGATCTTCGCCTTTCCCTGTAATCCCGCCGGATTTTCGGATGATTTGTCGCTTCTTCTCGTCCTCCCCCTTCCTCTCTCTCTCTTTCTCTCTTTCTCTCTCTCGTTTCGGGAGAAACGGTGCCCGTTTCCCGTTCCCGAGGAGAGACCGCGCGCCGCACTCGGGGAAACGCGTTATCCCGAGGTTTTTATTGGCCGCGGCAGGATTTTTCTCCGGCCGGCTTTTACGAAGATTCGAGTTATCGATCGACGCGCGCCGGCTCTTTTTCTCGATTTGTAACAAACCGGTCGTACCTACGCAAAGTGGGCTCACTACGTACGAGAGGCGTTTTATATCCACCAACAACTTTCATTTAGATCTTTATCGATTAACTTTCACGGTATACTCGCATATTGCTCTTTATTGCCTCAGCCTCGACGTTTCTCGGCGCTTTCCCGTTTACGCGCGCGCGCGCGCGTGTGTGTGTGTGTGTTTGTGCGTGTGTGTATGTGCGCCAACAGTGGAGTCAGGCATTAACTTTTGCGGCAGTTTTTCTCTGTCTAGACGTACACGCACACGAGTGTCCTCGCTCTTGCATACATACATACATATATACATACATACACGCACACACACGGTCTCGCGTTCACGGGAATAATCGTTTTAACGCTTTCGCGATAAATTCTGGGGAGAACGTTTCCGCGAGTCTTCCGATGCAAATTGAAACTAACGAGCGTCTGTCGTTGGGAACGAAGTTGCCGCGAAGTTTAACGAAGTGAGAAGTGTCTCTCTTCGAGTTTCCCGCTCCCGTTCCCCGTGCGAAAGCAGGGGTGTATGTATATCGGTACGCATTAAAGAATCGATTCCTGCAGCCGTTCGAATTGTAAAAAGCCGTTCTTCGGAATAAAGCGGGACCGAGGTGGCGACGTGAAAACCGATTTCGCAAGGATCGGCCGCAGAACGATCGGCGCGAAGAGAAATTTTGCGCGGATCGTCGTGAAACGAGCGATTCTTAAAAACATGGACCTCGAAGAATGTGAAAACGGATTCCGCGAGAATGGCTGTAAAATGCGGTGAAATTGGTGAAAATCGAGTAATTAACTCTTTAAACTCGATGCCGAATTAACGGGAAATTTAATTCAGTATTTTTTGAACCACGGTATTCACATTTTTCACAATGTGCATTTTATTGTGCATTTGATACGCGTGAAATTGAATTTTGCGATTCATGCGACAGTCGCGCGTTTAACGATTCTTGAAATATAAACAAATTTGGTTGATAAAATTATTTTGAAACGTGATGCGATGATTTTTAATGGCGTTTCTTTTTTTAATGGAGTCGCCACTCGAGTGCAAAGGGTCAACTCCTTGTAAATCAGGGTTTTCTGAAATGATAAGAACATTTTTATGTCAGAAAATTAGATTGTGCATCAAAGGA